CGACAAGGACATCTACACCCATTGACATCCCATGTTTATCCCATGCTCCCATTACTTTTTCATCAAATGGTTGATTGCATCCATAAATATCACATGGTTGCTTATATATCCATCACATATACATTTATATACATATATATGTATTCATGTATATACATATGATTACAACTGTATACATATACACATCTATATAACTGTATAATTGTATATATATATATCATATGTATGTAAATATGCATATACATGTATGTAAATGTAGATCCCTATGATATCCCTGTATCCCGATAATATCCTTTTAATACCCTCTGGTAAACTAACATTTGGCTATGGAAAATCACAATGTTTAATGGGTAAATATAGATTATAGATGGCAAGTTTCGATAGCTATGTGAAAATTTACCGGAGGGTATCTATCATTATATCATATATCACTATGTTTGGTTCAATTATATCATATCCATATCCATATCATATCACGGTTCAGCATATTCCAATATTAAACAGCCTCTATCGTAAAAGAAAACCTCTTCGTTTCTCCAAGACGCCGTCGCCCTTGAGAGCCGCAAAGGCTCCAGCTTGGAAGAAAGCGGCGGCATGTTGCACCTGAAGCAGCCACGGTGCAGCTATTTCTACAGTGTAAACATGTGGGGGGGTCCTAAAATGGGGATACCCCTGATACCCCTAATTAGATGGTTTATAAATAATGGTTAATAATGATGGTTATAGAAAATGATGGTTAAATCATTATCATGGTTTATAAATCATTGTTAATAATGATAGTACCACCATTTATCTGGTGTTTAACATGGAGAATCCCAATCTGAAATGGATGATGACTGGGGGTAGCCCCATTCCAGGAACTCTACATGTGTATCTAGGCATTTTAGGCTATGAACATTCGGATTTGAACAAGAGAAATAGGAGTTATAAATGTTTTTTTTCCATTTACCCTCTGGTTATTTAACATAGCCATGGAAAATGGCCCATTGATAGATGGTTTACCTATTAAAAATGGTAATTTCCATGGCTATGTTAAATAACCAGAGGGTATTTGCCAAAATTGCTGGAGATTATCGCCAAAAAACACCGATTCATCAACCATTCACGAAAAATTGACCACGTGCTGTCTGTTGTTGTCCCGCCTGTTGCACATCGACCAACTGCTCCTTGATGGCAGGGGGTGGATCACCACCTAAGCAGAGTGATGTGATCTGGTCATGATGAATTTGACCAGCAAGAATTGTGGGGGATATAGTAACCCTCAAAAAACAATGGGAAACACAAATCCAAATAACATATATGTATCATATGGTAATGAATTACTTATTTGTTTGTGTTTTTTTTCGGGGTTACTATAAAATGGGTGTAAAACCAGTGACTATATACATGGGGAATGTAGCGATTGAACAATGGATACCCTGAGAAATACACTGGGTACAGTGAGACGGTGCAATGGATCGGTTTAAGGGAACCATTGCGTGAAAGGGGTTGATTTTGACCTTCAAAAAACTCGGGGTTTCCATCGTGTCTTGCAATTCTTGCAGATGCTCCCTAAACCTAATAAACAAGTTGGGGAAGGATTCATTTGGGAGTCAAAACCCCACAGATTGTGCGGCAATTCGTACCTGTAACAATCAAGTTACAAGTTATTCTCAATTTGGACCCATGGCATTTTATCAACCGGCAAATTGGGACCTGAAAGCTGGGGGCAGCTAGTAGATGAGTCTTGTCCCGGACCACTAGTTCCACGAAATATAAGTGAGTTCTGATTCGGAAACAGGTTGCTACAGTTATGTTATGGCCCTTAACAGTTATAAGTTATAAATGGAATTATTAAAACTCCTATACCTATAGTAGTTATAAATCATGAAATAAGCCCATTTATTGTAACTGTTAGTTGGGCTATAACTGTATACCATCAAATCCATTCAAATCCAAAGTTGCCTGGCAAATTCTTTCAACCAAGCCTGGGAACCTGATAGGTTTTGTATTGTGGTGATCTAGGATGGAAGATCGTCCATCATGGATTATTATGCATATTTTACATCTATATATATATACATATATATATATACATATATATATACATATATATATATACACATATATATTAGGACGTGCCTTAGCCTCTTTGCCTGTGAGGCCTTAGAGCTATCCATAAAATCTCTAGAGCTATTCATAAAATGACAGTCAAATCCCCAGAGCTATTCCTAAAACTATGGCCAAATGTGTAGAGCTATTCCTAAAACCATGGCCAAATCAGTAGGGTTATTCCTAAAAATATTGTTGAACTGGAAAGCATATTCCCAAGAATGGTCAACTTGTATCATGGCATGAATAAACCACAAAGTTGACCACGAATACCTAGCCATACACAAACACTACCAATGTAAACATAAGGTATGTGTTAGTTCATGGACTCGGTCACAAAAATGAGAACATAGAGTATCAAATCATGCAACCATGCATATGGGGCTAACATTCTCTATTTGCATTGCAGTTGCATAACAGAAAGTTCCATTACAAGCGCACTACTTCTCACGTAGGTATATCCTCAAAGTACATGCAAGGGAACTAAGCAACGTACCTATACGACAAACCAAAACTCGTTCAAGTAAACCTTCAAAGAACACCACTTACATACTGTGCTGAAAATTGTGACTGGCTCTGAGATCATTGGAGTCATTAAATGATGACTACTCTATGACTATGGACTTACACTAGGAGACTATGACTATGCTTTGATTTGATGCGAGATCAGACAAGTTAATAGTCAAAACTTGAGGTACTAAAAGAGATAACCAATAATTGACTAAGTGACGACCAAGTACATAAGAAATGTCAAGTTTCCCGAATCATCGTCATGAAAAAACGAATATCAAACACCATCAACAAAATGCATCATACCAAAAAAAACTGATTTATGATCAACTTTTTTGATAGGGTAAGATGCCTAATGTTAATGAGTAAGTGGTATGCTAAGGAATGGCTCGGAGCGGTTCAGAGCGGTTCCTCAGCATGATTTTAGGAATAGCTCGGAGCGGTTCAGAGCGATTTAGAACCATTTCTAAAAAAAAACCTTTAAAGAATGCATATAGTTCAGAGCGGTTCAGAGCGGTTCAGAGCGGTTCAGAGCGATTTCTAAAACTTGAAAGCTTATGAATGGTTCTAAATAGCTCAGAGCGGTTCAGAGCTATTTCTAAAACATGGCTGAGGAATAGCTCGGAGCGGTTTAGAGCGATTCCTCATCACCCCGAAATCACGAATGTAGTCTCATCCTGTTTTTTTCAAACAACAAGATTGGAACAAAATCATACCTATTATATTAATTTCATATATTCATTTAATATATATATATATATTATCATAAATTTTGTTAATTTGTTATGCTCTCTTGTGTTTTGTGTTTCTGATCTCTTCAAGTAGTTCTCAAGTCACAATGATTACAACTACTATTGACTATGACTGTCTTACCATCTACTTACAACTTGGAACGAAACCGGACATGATTACAACCAAATCTTAGTCATGGCCTGGTTGGCTGGGGATTATACCAGCACAAAGAAGTGACAATAGGAATGTGGTGGGATTAAATTTGGAGACCAAACACTCATTGAGAAAAAAATCGTTGAACACCCGGCGTGACTGGACTAAACTACGCCAAACCAATGAGGGACAACCAAAGATTTATAGTTCCGGTTCAGGGCCTCTTTCTCACCCTTGTTGAAACCAAAATGAGAAACTGAATGGATCCGGGTCTAAAGAACAGGCCCATCCACTTTCCCGAGCCGTAGACTCTAGATGGATTGTCTAGCCATCTCTTGGAATTACATGGGAAGGGTTCCCATCTTGGAAGGATTCCCAAGGGATGGGGGTCTTGGTAACGAATAGCTAGCTCTACAGTTCCCCCAGATTTTTTTTTGGGAATAGCTCTGGAAATTTTGGGAATAGCTCTGGGAATTCCTTGAGATTTTTGGGAATAGCTCTGGGGATTCCTTGAAAATTTTGAGAATAGCTCTGGAAAGGAATTTAAAATTAGGTCTCTCCAGTCTTTGAAATTTTGGTTCCATGCCCCCGGCCCGGAAAGCAAACCCCGGATTGCAAGATTTCCTCTCACGGGAATGTCCCTCAAACCGTCACAAGAATACTCAACCCTCGGCCCCGCCCCCAAAAACCGGGTTTTGATTTGAACCATCGGGGTCGGAGGCATTGGGTCGGTGGGATATTGAAATCTGGGGGATGGCAGTTGGCCCCCCAACTAGATGGCATTGAAGGACACGCAGAAGGGATTAATATATGCTATTATAAGATAGGATTTGATTTGATTTTAGATTTACATGCCATACCAGCCACCATGGCCTTGCTTATTACCAAACGACCAATGGTCAGTGACCCCTGTTTACTGCACGCGAGACCACTCACAATTATGATTCGGAACGGGCATTTATCATGTTACATACTCTGTAATTCTTTTCCAAAAGAACATTGCAGATGGGTTGCTTAACTTGTTCATTCAGATCAGTGATTTCCAATGGAAAGGTGAACACTGAATGGTGAGTTTACCTGCAATTCTCACCTACAGAGATTGATATAATGACCGAGTATCACCGCATTCTATTACCAAAAGATCCTACTTTCAGAAGAAATGGTGCACTGAGACTTAAAGGTTTAATTTCATGAAGTATTCTGTTTTCAGGCTTCCATGACAAGGAAATGCCGAGTTCATCATGGATAATTGACGACTATAGTGATGCTTCTACACCTATCAATATAAAAAAGGTTGACTTGACACGATATGACATGATCCGACTGTATGACGCAAACAGAGAGATGAGTGGCTGTGTCATGATGACATGAAAAATGATATGCGAATGTGTCCATGATATGGTTCATGCTGGTCATGAACTGCCGGAATCACAGAAGGATATTGATAGATAACATTCAACCGTTCAACCCCTAGAAGGAAATTAATATATATATATTAAAATAAAAAACAAATATTATATATAGCTAGCGGCTGGTGCAGTCTAGTCATGACTCGTGCATGGAAGATTCAGCAGTCCATGGGTTTTAAGAACCATGGGCCAATCAGCTCCGGAATGGCATTGAAACATTAAATTACGGCCAGCCAAGGAAGTTATATGATGACAATGGCTATAACTTCTCATGAAGCAATGAGTGGGAACATATGGGAACCATACCTTAGCATGATGCCAGTTATGGCATTGGTCAAATACTTAATTCCGGGGGATCGGCGCGAAAATGCCTAGGCACACGCTGCTTGACAACCCTTGCACATGAGTTAGAATCAGTGAGGGCACCCCTATTGTATGATTAACTGAGGCTTATTTTGATGGGCTTGGATATCCTGTGCCCATAAAATGTAACATTGTTGCAACATGCAACATTCATGAAATCCTTCAGTGGAAACAATGAACGGTGATTTGTTGGTTCATTGGTGTGTTTTGAAATCTCAACCAATACAACGGAAGAACGTGCGAGGTCCCCGTCGACCAAAGACCACTTATTTCCGATAACATGTGTAGGTGGAACCTTGGGTATAATTGAGTTGGTCACACTTACATTGAAGGGGCCCCTGTTCCAACACAATCTCAATATTGTGCCCAATGAATTTAGGAACAGTTCTGGGACATCCTTGATGTCATTTTAGGAATGGTTCTGAGAAATGCTTCAAACAATTGGGAATTGCTTTGGGGCTTCCCTGAAAAATTTGGGAATAGTTTTGGAAATTCCTTTAAATTTTAGGAATGGTTCTGAACTGAATTTATTATTCTGGGACATCCTTGAAAATTTAAGGAATAGTTCTGGGACTTCCTGGAAAATTTGGGGAATAGCTCTGGGATCCTCACAGGAAGCTCAAATAAAGAGGCTAAGGCATCTCTTAACATATATATATATATATACATATATGATTATATATATATATATCATATAATACATTATGTACCAATATAAATCCAACATAATCCAACTATAACCCATGCAACTGGTACATTGCTAGCGCAGCTGATGGGAACCGACCTTTGGTGGTGTTTCCACATGTTTCCACAGCTCCCGCGAAGAGCTGCAGCTGTTCATCCTCATTCATCCTTAGATACCAAAAAAATAATTAATGGAAATATAGGCATATAATGGCATATATATAATCATATATATAATTCTATATAGAGTAAATATGTATTAATGTAAACCTTTCTGATACTTGCCTGCCACATCCCATAACTAGCACTAGTCACCAGCTATCCTGAGGTCCCCATGGCTTCCAACTTCCACCAGGATGCCATATGCTGCCGATCCCCAGCTCGTCACCGATCCCGAGGCCGCCTCCACGTACCTTGAAGAGTCGGTGCTTGGGCGGAGTCAACGGCATGGCCCGAGTTCTACCAGTCCCAGATGCTCCATGTATGGAATATTTACCTATATATACATTTGTGCCATTTTTGGGGTAAATATAGGTAAATATTCCATACATGGAGCATCTGGGAGTTAGAAGTACTAACAAGTCACCCCATTTATAGAATGTATAATCCCATATAAATAACCAGCTATTAACTAATAAATGACCATAACTGTACAAGGTAAGCGTTACTTGATGAAGTTGGATTATGACTAGGTTCATTTCATATGGTTTAGGGATATGGTAGAGATTGTTCGAACTAACGGTACTTCATCATGGTTATAACATGTACACCAACAAATGTGACCAGGAAGGACACCACCTTGTATCACCAGTTTTAACGTAGTGGGGTTTGTAAACCAACTTAAAAATGGGGGCGGCAACACTTTCTAGCCATAGAAACATCAGAATTAGCTGATGGTCTATCCATTGAACAGACGAGCAAAAATGATGAAAATCAACAAATGAGGCTGGACCCAGCAATTGGGCTGACACTTAACAGAAACTGAAGCCACTTGGGGCGTTTCTCAAAATAGGGGATCCCATTTTACCATGGGCTACAATACAACAACTGCAAAAACGGTCTAATTTTGGATCATTAGGGGGCACCCCCATTTTAGGAAACCTGCAAATGACCTCTGCAATTGATTGATGGTCAAGACGACGCAGGAAACGGACACGTGGCTGAAAATCTCGTCTACGTCTAGGTCTATGATCAGCGGCACTGGTTTTAACGGGGGCAGTGATCGAGTTTCCCGTTTGACAACAGGAAAACCCCAATCTGTCCGGATCATCAGCTGGCGCCGTCACTTGGGCAATATCTTGGTGGAAGAACTACTGCTAGACATGATCTGTAAGTTGTATTGAAGGGAGAATTTTCACTGGAATTTCTTAGCTTTACAGGGATTTACTGCATGATCATCCCTTCACAGTTCCTACTTAGACACTTAGAAACAAGTTCTTCACAGTACCCAAGTGCCCCTACCCTTGGCTCATCTAATCTGGCAAGTGACAATTCACATTTCCGTGTTTTCATCATTCATTTCTACATTCTAAGTATAGTGGCTAAATTTCAAAAAGTGCATTATCTGCGTTTGAAATCTCTAAGCTGGTAAGTGGAGATCTGAGTTTCATTGATTTCCCCTATGTTCAATACTTAGACCCTCCAAGTATGGCAAGTATGCTTGAAAATCGGCAAAAGTCCCAAGTCATAGTGGTTACATCATAAAAAAACGATTTTTCGATGCACTTGGAGGGTCCTGAAGGGTCTGGGTATGTACATTATCTGTTAGCTTTGACTATACAATCTATACACAAAAGCTGCTCCCACTTCGTTGACCTCCCCAAAAAAAAAACGTCGTCAAGTCACGCGAAGGCCCGTGAATAGCGGTTGGACGCCAACATTCCATGGGGTCGAGCAACGGCCTGTGGCCATGGGCCATGGTGGTTTGAGACAAGAAGTCTGATTCAACCAACAAAAATTAAGTTTACCAAAGAAAATTGAGATTCTACCAACAAAAACACATTTTTTTAACTGCCAAAATGAACCAAACTGGTGATTTGTACATCAGATCTTCTGACACTTCCTGTTGGAACAGATCTCTGTGACAGGCTGAGGCGATTTTCCCATGGCTATCTTGGCGGAGTCCTGCACAGAATCGCCATCTTGCAGCCCAGCCAACTCCAAGCTGCTATTCTCCTAGGCGGATCTCACTGATAAAGCAAGGTTTCAATAGTTCTTCAATGAAGGCTGATAGAAGGGCCCCCCAAACGATTGCTAAGTTGACTTATAATCTGGTTGACCATGATTTATGCGGAATATACGTGTAGTCGCTATTTGGTTTTAACCAACTTATAACTGGGGGCATCACCTTATATATACATGCAGAGTACAAGCGCATGATAGTGTAGTAGTGTATGTACGATGCACTGTATATTCATATGACGCAAAGATGTAGTAATGATACTTCTACACAAAGATGGAATGATAGTCCAATGACCATTGTGTTTACATCCATCCAGCTCCAGATTTTCGGATGGAAAACATCCGACCGCCAAATCAATGGATTGTAAGAGAAAACTTCCAGGAAACATGAAGTTCACCAAGATCAGTGAAATCGAAGGGTACCCTCCCAAAGGTCAACCCTCGATAAACAAAACTTGTTTTTTAGTTGTTGAACCCTATCAACAATTAAATATGATTTTTAATTGTTACAATAGGGTTGAATGGTTTTTAGTAAACGTGTTTCAACCGCATGATATGTTCGGTCATGATTCACCTTTTTCTTGGTTCAGTAAACCAAGCCCTTCAAAGATCACCAATTCTGGGAAGTAATGATTGGCAAAAGACCCTTTGTTTATATACCCATAGCCAATCCCAATTATGTTTATCTTCCCTATTTTAAAATTTTATTCTAATTCTTATGATGGGATTAGTTTACATTGATTTACATTATTTTCTTTCAAACGTGATTTGATAAGTTTACACTGGCTTAGACTCATACGTTCTTACAGTTATGGCCCAACTAACAGTAATGACATAACAGCTATAACTAGTTGATTATATACATATATATACCGTTCTAAGCCCATAAAAAAAGTGATAGTTGGGCCGCAACTGTAGGGAGTTGGTGGTTCTATTCTTTTTGTGTTCGAAACGCCTCGCACCACCTCCGGCACCAGCCATGGCTTCAGCTCTGCACCGCGCCTGCAGCACTTCACCGCTGGCCACCAAGGAAGCAATGCCCACCTGTCATCGAGGCTTAGCATTGAGATTTTTTGGAAAATGCCTATGGTAAAGAACCCATGGTTTACCCATTGAAATAAGGGGGATATCAGTGGATATAGCTGATGAATGATGGTTGATTGATTATTTTGGGGATTACCCTGTGGTAATTTGTTACATAGCTATTGAACATGGCCCATTTATAGTGGATTTACCCATTGAACAGTTTACCAAAGGGTAATGGAAGAATCATGATTTTTCGGAATGATACCATGGGATATCCTTATGTTCAGACAAACCCAAACATCCACTCAACTTACCTTCCTAAAAACTAAGGTAGATCTGTAAAACACGCCAGGCATGTAGATCTTTTTCTGTTTCCCCATGAGATTTTACAGATCTTTGAAGGTTTACCCCAAGGTAGATAAGATTGAATTTGGTCCATTCGGGAGATAAAATGCGCCAAGGGTCGCTTAGTTACGGTGGTGCCCTAGTTCATGAGCTAAGTTGGTAAACAAACCTACACATGTTTTACCACGGTGCATTGTAGATACAAGGTGAACCATACTTAGCCAAGCTGGTTTGTAACTACCTGAACCACCCACAGTGCAGAAATTTTTGAACGTTTGGTACTTTTGAACTTTTGGACCGATTGGAACGATTCAGGATAGAATGGAACGATTCTGTATGGAATTGGTTCAGTTTGAAAGGCATTTGAATGATCTCTTCCCTTCTCCGCACGACTGGCTTGATGAACACTTTTTTGCCAATCTGGAGCGTGACTTCATCACCCACATCTAGAAATTCAACATGTCAAACTGCCGAGCATACTGCCCTAGAGATTTTTCTAGGGTTCGCAGCGTTTGTTGTAGCGGATGTGTCGTACGTGCTGTTCTTGACACCTGCCCTATGAAGTCTTCGTCTCCCCATACTGCAAAGCCTTACTGGCAGATGTGGAATTTGGTAAGACCATGGCTAGCTATTCTTGAGATTCCTTGGGAAAGAAAAATAGCATCAAAGCTGTATACCGAAAATTGTTCCAGGTGCAGCATGGATTGACGCTGATAGGAGGGGTGATGTCCAGGCACAGGTGGACTCCAAGATGGTACTTGGGTCTGTATTTGAACAATCTGTAGCCAGCAGCATAGCAGGCTGAAGCCAGTGAAGCGAATGCAACCTCAAAACAGTCATCTTTCCAAGGTGTTCCATTTGTATCTGTATCAGGCTGAATCGTTCCAAGTAGCACACGGGTCCAAAAGTACCAAGCGTTCAATCATTTCTGCACTGTGGGGAGTTCAGGTGTATGTATTGTATTATAGTTTTGTATGAAGAAGTTGTACACATGTATTCAATTCAGCTAATATATATATATATATAATCAGGTCTATGTACATGAGCTACTGGTAATCAAGTCAAAAGTGCATACTAATAGGTGGGCAACATTCATCTCGTGGCCAACTGTTCTCGCAAGGGTGCAGATATTACCTCGAAGAAAAATGCCATGTGCCCTGATCGTCCTGAAGAAGTGGTTGGCGCACCGGACCAAGTAGGCACATCGTTGGAAAAGTTCATCATTGGGGTCTGCCTCGAACGCATTCCAGCTAGCTTGTTACCCCCAGACTGATTTCAATTGCTTTATAACACCTGTGGTCAGTTGTGGCTACCATGAACCCACTTGTATACAGATCAAAAATCAGCATTAGCTAAACAGCTAAACAGAGGAAACCTGTCAAATCTAATGGTGCAGCTGTTCCACTTGAAACTACCCACCCTTTGACAAGACTTGACCTGGCAATGGTCAACTTCGTCGCCCAGCCATGCCATGATGAGCGCCGTATCAAAGGCCTTGCCGCCCAATGTGGTGGGAAAGTTGTTCCCTTGCCTGGGCTGGATGTCACATAGCTTTCAGACAGGTAGACACAGGACACTAATGAAAATTCTGGCTTCCCCCTGTTCATTGTTTTTTTTGCCATGGTACCCTCCCATGCCAAAGGAAGCTTTTGTGAACTCATCGATCGCAGTAGTATGCCTGTTGCGCTTGCACCAGCTGTCAAAACGCATATAGGCCTCAGCCAGCCTATTGTCCATCTTCCGGTCGTCGCCGAAGTGGCCGAGGAAACATAGAAGTGTAACAGAGCTGGCCGCACAGTCTAGCCCATATCCAAGATGAAATATGTGACAGAAATCCAAAAGTATGTATGAGGGCTCATGACACCCTGGTAGCTGCCGCAATGGGGCGAACTGGTCTTTGTACGGGGGGGGTCCCTCCCCCCCCGTACGCCATGCTGCATCTTCATTCGGGTTCTCCCAGTCCTTTAGGGATTGTTGACCCCATATATGTAATATATATTATATACAGTTTGTATATATATATATATAATATGCCAACATTTGAACACAAATATCAGCAACACAGTTGTGTGGAAAATCACTGTCCTCTGAAGTGCATCTGTGACAGATACGCCTGGACGTAAAACCAGAACTCAAATGATGAGCCTTTGCTGGCCCAAAAAAACAAATCCAGTCATGAACATATTCGGCATTCTTTCGGGAAAAAAAGAGAAAGCTTAGATATAAAGTATCATCTAAGAATCTTTTCGAAGAAAAACCCAATCCCCTTTGGTCCCCAGGCAGATGAGCCGCAGCTTGGAGCCACCTGCATCCTTGGAGGCTGGGCTGGCTGGACGGGAAAATATTTTTTTGTTTTTCTGATTTCTGGGGTCTTATGTCTACAATAGCAATCCCCTCGAAAATAAAGATATATATAGGAGTCTGAGGATCACATACCCCATGCTCAAATGCATCCAGGGCTTGGTTGGTGAACTCTCCCAACAGGTCGTCAATGGTCCAATCTGCGTAATACAGGTGGCTTGAAATCCCAGTGAATAGCCAACGCGAGGTGAATGTGTGCCTGGTCAACAGATTAGATGGTCAGGGAGAATCAGGCAGTCTAATCATATATATATATAATATAATTATAATATATATATATAATATATATAATATATAATATATATATATATTATATAATATATAATATATATATAGCATAAAGGAAAGAACAACCTATTTTTTTAGTGGTCGCTATATTCTTTTCGATGGGGCCAAACCAAACATGTTCAATTAGGCCAATAAGATTCGTGCTATCATTGACCACTCCAACTCCTTGATGTCCGATTGCAAATTGAAAGCTGATAACCATAAATGGTCTGCGAAGATGGCCACGACCTTCATCTCCGTGGATAAAATACGGAATACAATTTCCAGTGTCAAAGTCGGGATCTTCAGCAAAATGAGAGTAGATTGGGTGGGTGGGATTTGTTGCCTGGTAATCCCGCCAGAATTGTCGAAAGGTGTTTTTCCAATCGCCGCTCACACCATGTCCAGCCAACATGAACTGCGGCTTGTGCCGCAAAAAGTACCTACACCATTCCTCAAGTCGAATCATTGGCCAGTAGACTCGGCAACAGCGGAGTGGTTTCCGCATTCGGATCTGAATGTCACACACATCTATTTTGATAGGCAGTGTGGTTCCTGGCGTCCGTTTGATCAACCGGGTCAGATTTCTACATGCATTCTTCTTGCCAGCGTGAGTTCCAGCAACCTTCAATAAGAGGTTTGAGTTGATTTTGCCTTGCCCCACCGTGGAGTAAATGAAAAGACCCTGAATCTAGGCATAGCACTGAATAAAATTACTAATGAAAAGTGATTTTAACCCAGCGCAAGTTGCATTTTCTGGTAACTCGGCAAACCATGGAAGCAAGCTTGCTAACTCTCCAAGCTGATTCAGCCTTGGATCTTGCCAATGATAAAAAAAAACACCGGTAACAAACCGTACAAATATCATTTCTTAGGATACCCCAGTCAAGTTATCCCATATACAATAAATAGGTGGGCCCAAGCATGGGGTATTATTATGAACCAACAAAAATTCCCTATTTCCCAGAAACCCCTGACAAGTATTCCCGCATAAGTTCTTGCGCCAGGTCATCTGCAGCTTTCCCTGCTTCATCCAAATCGGATTGGAGGCCTGCATGCGCTCAATGGGCACGGGTGACCGTGCTGCCAACGGACTCTAGATTCTATACATTATACATGGGGGCGTAATTCCAACTGCAAGTGGGCAATCCATGATTTTACTCACTACTACACTAGGCGCCTTTATGGTATGAAAAATGCCCATTTGGCAAGAACATCAATGTCACGCGGTGTTCTGACCTGAGCGTGGACCACCAAGCCTTGTTGAGGACCAAGAGGATGTCGACCCCTCAGCTGTTGACCTGGCATGCAACAAGGACATGGCATTCGGGAGATTTAAGTTAAAGGCAGGGTGAAAGATGACGATGGGTCAAGTTAGCAACATTTTTCCAAAATGAGGTATACCGGAATGCCCGCAGTAGTATTTTGGGGGACGTACACCAGGGTTCCAAGCTATGCAGTGCAGCCCTTTTGTCGTGCAACCGCTGGCTGGACACACTGTGCTTCTATTGAAGCTGCAACCGGATCATGAAAATCCGTGCCCGTTAGCAAGCCATGGCCACAGACGATAAATACAATATATGCATGCCAGTTCAGCTAATATTTATATAGTTGCTATGAGCTTTTAAGAACTTTGTATTCATTCCCAAAGATGGCCATCCTATGCCTGCAGGGCATGGTCAAAACCGTGATCCTTATCAGCTAAGTAGAAGAACTACTTCTTGCTCTTCTTGGATGGTTTCTTTTTCTTCTTGGGCACCACTGCAGCTTCCGATCCCTCTCCCTCAGTTTCAACGGGTTCAACCTTTGCCTTGCGCTTCTTGGAACCACTGCTCTTGGGGACATCTGTGTCCTTGGCCTTGGCCTTTGCCACTTTCACAGCCCTGACAAGCAAATGCGCGGAGGAGAGATGGCTATGGACCATGGAAAAAACCATGCAAGACCATCTATGGAACCTAGCCTGCATCGAAGTATGATTTGGTTCAGTTGGACATCTTCTTTCGACAGGTCAATCAGAAGCTTCCTCAAATGGGCCTTCTGTTGCCTTAAAGAAGCTGAGACTATTGGAAAAAATAACGTCTCAATTCAAAATTCAACGAGTGATGATTGCTGGGCAACAGGCTGTGAGGGTTCATGTTCAATGTGCTCAGCTTGCACAGCAAGGATTGCGTTGAACTTCGTCTGGAAGCTTGTGAGCTTGGTGCTGAGATCTTGTGCAAGCCTGGGCTCAGTGGAATTGGGAAGACCCGTGGGTTTACAGTATACCCCCGTCAAGCACAACATTCGGATATGTAACTGTTACGTGTTTCAAGATCTCATTTAGGATAATCATATATATTGTTTATTAGGATGCCGAGCCCAAATTTGGAGCCCAAAACACGAGATGGCCAATCCAATAAATGCAAAAAAAGGAGCATCTTACTGCGGTCTGATTCGACCTCCTTCAGCTTTTCCTACAGGGGCAATAGTTTAAATGATGCATTTAGGTGTGGTTTCGTTGAAATAGTGTTCAAACAGTTAGGGTGAAAGCCGGGCCTTAAGCTCTTCAGCCTGATCAATCTTCTTTCCACCAACATCCACGAAATCTTGAAGGCTACCTTAGGGACCCAACGTCCAACAAAATGAAAAAAACTTGAAGCTGTTGATGGAGCGATATTTTCACTGCAATATGACAGGTTGGTGGAACATGGTGGAAACATGCAGTTTTGATGTAATGTAAGCTGCGGCACTATATGGGTCTGTGCCCACTTGAAGCACAGGGAAAACAAGTGACTTCTTGCCCTTTCCCTTTCCTTTGTCCGGTTGGGTAAAACCCAGTCCCGCATTGCCGATGGAGCCACCGCTCCTTGGGAAACCCAACAATCCCGTTGAGATCGCAAATTACTATCGTTCTGGTAGTATATGGCAAATCGTTGGGATTATTGGGGATTCTCATAGCAAGCTTTTTGGGTGACATTGAATGACATTGTATAGATATGTATATAAATAGACTAATATCTATATATATATATATTTATTATATTATATGTATTTTTCTATTGTGCAAGAGAGGTTCGACACAAAGCTTTCAGCGTTGAGATCAGCACCCTCCCCGACGAGGATGCCTTGTCCACCCTGCCAAACTATGAGGTGGCCAACAGGTAGCACTTCGACAGCGAAAAATTCAAGAAAGTGACCAGGCCTCCACCTCAGTGCTTGAAGACGCAGTGGTTTTGACACGATTCAAGTCTTTCGCAGCGAAATTCCAATCTGTGGGCACACGATATTCTTCTTGTCCATGCACTGGATTGTGCCTTGTTTTTCCCAGACTTGTTGCCCACGCTTTTGCGTGAGCAACCATGGACCTCAAGTTGACTTGACTCAAGTTTCACCAAAACATTGGGCTAAATTTGGTGAACTGGTGTTCCAAGTAAGCCCACCACTCGTCCCAACCAGGAATCAAATACAATTGTCCTTCCGTCTTCCATCCACCCAAGACATCTTCAGAGTTCTCCTGAAGTCAATTTTTGGGATATTTGAAGTATATGACAAAGGTGACATTGGGAAAACCCCGTTTCCACATCCAAAACATTAAGGCTCCTGAATAGATTCCCGCTCGATAGTTAGATTGACCTCATCCATGGACATCGAATTCTGGTACAGCAGTTGGCGGAGTTTCTTGCCTAGGCTAGCTGGCCAGCAACATATAAAAATCAACCTATTTGCGGGGATCCCTTTTTATGATCATGGCTTAGTTGTGATTACATATGTATAAATATGTATGTCTGTTTCTATATATCTATGTATCTATGTATCTTTGTATCTATGTATCTATGTATCTATGTATCTATGTATGTATGTATGTATGTATGTATGTTTGTTTGTTTGTTTGTTTGTTTGTTTGTATGTTTGTGTGTGTATGTATGTATGTATGTATGTATGTATGTATGTATGTATGTATGTATGTATGTATGTATGTATGTATGTATGTATGTATAGAAGAATGTTTGCATGTATGCATGCATGCATGCATGCATGTATGTATGGATGTATGTGTGTATGTATGTGAGTATGTGAATATGTGTGTATGTCTGTCTGTATGGATGTATGCATGCATGTATTCATGCATG